TCAAAATCAAAAATTGCAATTAATAAGCTAACTTCACACGCAAAAATCAAATTTTTGTATTTTCCAATTTCAAATAACAACAACAGCAACAAAACAAGAACAATTAACAACGGGCCACACATCATACTAACTCACCTTAGGAAATTCTCGTTCTCTTCGTTTAACTTGTCGGCATCCTTCGATTTGTACCGCATCAAACGATCCAGTAGGCAGCGATTTTCGTCCTGTATGGAAATAGAAAGGCGTTTAGTAATCGCTTTACGCATCTTATTTGCACTGTTGTGAAATTCTCTAAAACTTTCTCTACGTCGATAGTTCTATATAATTTTTATTTGTATATGTTTTGTTTTTTTTTCAGCGGTATTTTTTCACTATATGCTACACTAGTTTTGTATTCAAGTTTATTAATATTTTTCAAAGCACAGGTTTTTTTTTTTTATTTTGTATCGCAAGATAATGAAAATATTTAATATGAACAAATCGTCTTAAAATTTCCGTGAAAACTGTAAACGCGCGTCGTAGGCGATTAAAGTAACAAGAACGAACGAAATGCAGCGGAGATTTTGTTTGTCAGCCAATGTCGACCGAACAGCAACTGGAAACGACGAGAGGCACGACCAGATAACACACTGACATATTTTACAGTGTGCTGGGGAAAATCTAGCGGAAAATGCTGAGAATGTAACAGTTTGTTGGCATGACGTGAAGACTACTTAGTGACTTGGTCAGTTAGTGGGTTGCTGGTCTGTTTGTTTATTTTGCCAACGAGTGTCATTTGTCAGCTGCCATGAGGGTGTATATTTTTGTAGGTGTATAAAATAATCAAATAGCCTGCGCACAGTACATAAGTACGTACACACAGTGACAAACAAAAGTATTGGCACAGAGCATTTTTCGCAGTGTATGCAAACTACAACGAAATACATACATGAAAAGAAAATCTCTATACTTTGTGCAAATCTTGGGGAAATTCAATAAATTTGCATACTAATTTGTTAGTTTCTAATCAGATTTTTTAGAAAAATTCGAAATATACATTTTTATAGCCCAGTGAACTGCTGCATACTAAGAATTTTTCAAATAAATCTTAAGAGAGCTGGAAATTAGTATACAAACTTAATTAATTTTCCTCAGTTTTGCACAAAGCTTAGAGATTTTGTTTTTATTTTATTTATTTTTTGTTGCAGTTTATTTACAGTGACCAGATTGGTGTGGCCGCAAATCGGGACATTTCTAAAGCATCGAATCCGAACATACAATTTTACTTTTAGAATAAAAAGACATAACACTGCTTAGTACAGTTTTATTAAAAAATAAATAAAGAGAAAAAACTTGAAAAATGATCGCAAAAACTTATACACACTAGACTGTGTCAAATAAAACGATTGTTTTTCGGTCCTATATAAGAATTTCGTTGTCGGGTACAAACAAATAATCATGGAAAAATTTCAGCCCTCTATCTTAAGATTTCACTTAGCGGTCGCAAAAATAAGAACTGTCAATGAAAAAATTTTTTTCCGCTACTTATTTGCTTATAAACAATTAAATATAATAAGTAAAAAAAAGAGTTAATAAAAATAAACTTTCTATTATTTTTCATTTAAAAGTTTTACTGAGTTAAGCAGTTTTTAAAACTCATCAATATACTATTGATTGATCCCAGTAAGAAAGGTTGACCAATATGTGGTGGAAATTTTTAGCGAAAAAAAGACATTTTCCGTTTATATGCTTTTTGCGTTTACGTTTAACAGCTTTTGAAAAACATGAAATCTGGATACGGAGCGTAAGTACTGTTTATATACATATACAAATTCGCGAAAAATTTTCTTCCATACAAAGTAAGTTTAAAATTTTTTTGTATGGAGAAAATGAGAAAGATCTTCTACAAAAATAAATGTAGCAGAAACCAACGTCCTAGATACTCAAGAATCGAAAGCTAAATAATGCTAAAATATCTCTTCTCTATTTATATGTTCGCCACTGTAGCTACAGCTTATGTTTTATATATCCATGATTTTTTTTTAGATAGTTAGTATTATTTTGTATAATTTCACTAAATTCAAGTTAGAATCGCTTCATTAAAACAAAAAAAAAATTTAACAAATAATTATAAAAAAATATATAAAAATTTAGACAAGAATGGCAGATTGCACTATAGCGTGAGTACCAGTAAGAAAACATAATCAAAGATAATAGAAAATACGATAGCTGGCTATGCTTGTATTCTACCACCCTAACGGCGTAACGAAAGTACTGCCACGTTTGTTCAAAAAAATATTTTTTTTTTTTTGCCAGAGTACAGGGAAACTCTTAAATTAATAAAGAAAACACTGAAAATCGGGATTTAATCGATGAAACTATGAAAAATCGGTACTGTCCCGCTAAAATCGACAAGTAGTACACCGGAAGTATATGTTATGTTTTTTAACTGCATACTTTGCAAAAAATTCTCTGTGCCAATACCTATGTTCGTCACTGTAGACACATACATATCAAAGTTTTAACTTTCTATTTCTGTATGCGGGGTGCTGCGTGTGTGTAAATTATTTCACGCTACGCAACAAAGGCTGACAAGTCAATTTAATTAATAAATACCGTTATCGACTTGGTCAGTGGCAGTAAAAATAGGTGTGTTTAGCCACAGGGAAGACAATCGGCCAATGAGATTTTTTATCTGCAAAAGGGCAAAAATCAAACAAAGCGTAAATGGAGAAATGCATGAAGCCACCTTGTGTACATAGGCACTTTATTTACCTGATTTCAAAAGTTAGAATTATTTTGCAAATAAAAAATCCAGTTACTCAAAGAAACTAGAATTTTGATTTTTTTTTTAGATTTTGTAATTATTACTTCACAGGCAGACACCCCATCCATACATAGAAGATAATTTGAAAATTCAGTGCATTTAAATTTTCTGAGGCGTTGTTTACATTTAATTGAGGATTGGCAAAATCGGCAAAACCCAAGTAGTGATACCACTGACGGCGTCTCCTTTGTTCTCTACACCGTGAACGATCGTGGCACGTTTTAACAGTTATGAGTTGATAGCTTTCTTAAAAAATTTTTTTGGTAAGTTTCAATTGTAACAGTAATTGCTGGTTTGGTGTTACTTCTTAAATATGGAAAATTGTGATTTTATATGAAGTTTCACATAAAAAATCTTAAAACCTCAACAACTGTATTAAAAAACGAGAAAACTGAAGTTTTGGAAATTACGAATTTCGTATGTATAAATAAAAAAAAAAACATTAAAAAACTGTTTGGGCCTAGATCAAATAGTTTGGGCTGAATATATAGCAGATCACAGCGATCCAATAGCGCATTTCAAGGTCATTGTGCACCCTGTATTGGTGGCAGTAGAAAATTGAAAGTTGGTATAGATATTCAAAATATCAAAAGGAAAAAACTAAGGAGGTGCCCCGTTTTCTAGAATGAAAATTTTTTCCCCATACAAAAATTGGACCACTCTAGTATTCACTGTGTGGATACCCTGCATTATGGAGAAGACGACAAAAAAATTTGGTAAGAAAATTGTTCTCCAATCTAAACGCAATGGCAAAGTTGATCTTACGGCAGCTGTCCAGATTTGTTGGCTCCACAAACTTGGTTCAAAGTGGGGTGGTAGTTTTGAGATCTCTGTAGTATCACAAAAGACGCAATTTGTAGGCCTAAGTAGTATGTGTGCTGATAGGAATATCACTAACGCCGTATAGAATGCTGTCCTTGTACAAACATACATGTCTGTGTCGATGAACGAATTCCCGGAGAACAAACCCCCGCGAATATTAATAATTGGGCTGTATATAAATGACGAATTTAGATTTAGGTTCATTCCAAAATCAACTGAATTTAATTTATTTTCTTATATGTATGTATATATGTACAATTCATACAGCTGCGTTCACGAACACCTTACCACTTAAGATTTTGCAGATTTCACAATTTCTAGAGTTTATACGGCAACCAAGGTTTTGAAATTTTCCAAGTATATTTTATAGATATTAGAGCAGTACGTAGCGAAATGTTGTTCATTTAGAATAATTAGTTAGTTTTTATATCAAAAAAATAAAATAAATAAAATTTTTTGAAAATATGATGGATTGATTTTTGCTTTGATATTTTCCTAAAGCTAATAACTAGTGACATTGGTAAGAAGTTGATGCATCTTCAACCGAAGTAATAACTTTTATTCGTTTAGGAAATAGCGAAAAATGATTTTGCAAAAGTGCGTTTTTAATTCAATCTCTAATCATCTTTCCAGAAAGCCATCTTAATTATCGGTTTATATTGACATATATCGGGCTTGTTCGAGATGCAATCACAACCGCAGTGTTGTGCGAATTATTAAAGTAACACGTTCGGTGTGAACTGCTAGCAAGATTTATCAGTTGGGAAGTTGCAACAGTATTACAAATTTTCATCAGTGCTGCAGTATTGCCGCTTTTATTACGCGCCTTGAACAGGCCCATCCTGTTTCATTTTGTGCCATGCATGTGTTTAATGGAACTTGAGTCAGGGGAATTTTTCAGCCGATCTATTCGTTTAAATCCAAGGTCCAGAAACATTTTTTGCACTTGTGAGCAATGTAGAAATCATTATCCATCTTTTCATTTACAAACACGAACTTAAGAATATATCAACAAATATTTTCAGAACCTAGCTTCCATATTACATACATATGTACATGCAATGTCCTAAACGGAATATTTTTTGATTTTTCTATATTATGCCTGATTGATTGAGCCCATCGCAATAGCACAATATTCTTGTGACCTCACAATTTTTTTTTTTTTTAAATGTCCTTCGTATTTTTTTTATATAAAACGAAATTCTGAAAATTTGTATGGCTAATTTAATGGTCTATAAAACTGCATAACTGAATTCTTTTTAAAAATTCGTATTAAAAAGTTCGCGAAACTTTGCAGATTTTTCTTAATTTCGAACACTGTTTAATTCTTTTTTAAATGGGGTTTGCTTAAATTTAAGCCATATTTTAATAAAAAATTAACAAAAAGATTTTAGCATGTAAAACATTGCGAATATTAACCAAAAAAGAGCGGTACGCTCAATTTTGTGAGTAACTGTAAGTGCATACGTATGAATGTATACTAAGTATGTAACTTTGTCAAATAAAAATTTTTTCAAATCCGTTGAAGATTTTATAAATGAAATTCGAAAATAGCATTTCAGTCGTAATATCAACACAAAGCATCCAAATCTTTTCAGCAATGCTGCTTAGTCGCGTGATGAACGTTCATGAGTTTCGAATCCGTTTGTTTGTCGATGTGCGGCACTCCGTGCGCTTGCCATAAAAGCCCTATAAATTATCTGTGTTCATATACTATATATATGTACATATACTGGCGATCATAACTGCGTGCATGGTTATTTTTTGTGAAATACTTGCTTTAACCAAAAGCAAATACTAACACAAACTTCAAACTTTATACAGAATTGAGAAAAATTCAACAAATTTTCTTTTTCACCAAAATTTTGAATTTTTCCATCTGAATAGAAATTTTCTGGATATGAAGTTAAATGGCTTATGAAATTCTAGTAAAATTAGTGCACGTTTT